TTAGAAGTGTGCATGGGAGAAATCACTTCTAAATACCCCAGGGTCTCTTGAGTGATTTCAGATGAACGAAGGCTTTGTGATTATTTTTTTTTTAAGAATTGCAATTTGGAATGCAAGGACCAACTAGAATGAGTCTGAGGAAGAGCTAAACTGTTTTCAGAAGCTAGGGTGAGTGCAGCTATCTTTGCAATGAAATGTCATTTCCCGCTGATCGGACTGAGCCTTTTCTCCTTAAGCCTTGCTCCTTCCAGGGTTCTGTGCTTGGCATGGTAATTAGGGCCTTGTGCAGGCGGGGATGGAGCGCTCCCAGTGCTCTCTAAAGCTCTGCTTTCCTGCAGCTTAGTTCCTTACGTCTTCCTGGCAGTGTGCAGCATGTGTGTTTCTGTGGTTGGATTTGGGGGAACGCACATGACAGGCAAGGCTGCGGAGAAGGAGAATCAACCAGGATGGGAGTTTTTAATTGAAGTTTATTTGGAGGTTCAATGAGGTGAGACTGTTATGACACATTTCAAAGCGTAACAATAGGAAAATGAGCTGGATTCATCAAAGTTGGAGTAAATACGGAGCAACAGCTCAGCAGCACAGCGTGAGACAACAGCTACAGGCCCTCAAAAAAATCCGGAGTAATTAAAATTTACATTGTGCAGCCCTCCTTCTCAGTGGGTACCTTTCCAAGGGAAGCAATAATTTTATTGTGAAAAATATAAACACAAATTTGGAGATGTAAATTACATGCACAATTTAATTTTGTGTGTAAACGTGGAAAGTTTTCAGAATGCAGATGTAATCAATACACAACTGTAGCTGAGACCAGGTTTGTGAAAGGCCTTGGGAAAGCAAAGCCCCAAGACTTTCCTCCCACTCTGCTCCTTTTGTGGACTTGGAAAAAGAGAAGATGGGATTCCATTGTCCAATTTCTCAGGACACAAACTCTCAGAGGTTATTATTTAATGCCACAGGAGAGATAGTAGTTTTTATTTATTTATTTACTTTTGACAGCTCATACAGAATTTTACTTAACGAAGTAATATGAATTTCACAGTATTTGTTGTAATACATGGTATTGTCTTACAATCAGTTATTCATATTACCAGATATATACACATAAAATTGGAAGAAGAAAAAACTGGAGCAATGTATAAGAAATTAAGAAAAGAAAAAGTACAAACAATTGAAAAAAAGGAGAC